TCTTGTAGGACACGATGTTATAAAGAGGAAGCACATCCCACTGGAGACTATAATCATCCTAATGATATTAATATAATACATTGTGTCGAAAGTGACTGGTGCATAGTAGGGCCCATGATCAGCATCACCTACATAACACAATGCTGTTTGCCTAAGTGGTAGATATATCAGAGTAAACCGTGTAAGTTAAATAAAATTTATGTAGTCATTTGGGAATAGAAAAATTGAAGCTCTGTACTTCTATATACATATTCATCTTCTGATGCTTACTGGCAAAAAATGAGATTTTGTGGCACAGTACTAACTAGGAAAACTGCACATGTGAGACATGGAAAATCAGGTATCAGTAATGCTTTCTATTATCAAACTTCCTCAAATATGATAGACATGATGAAGAAAATGATCACTTTGCTTGATCAAGATAATAACTGATAAGATTGGATCAAACTGAAATATTTTAATTAGATAAATCTTAAATATTTCTTAACACAAGTGAAAAAATATAATGCATCACATAAAAATGCAGTAATTCATCTATATGTTCACATGGTACTTTGAGTGATAGTGTAGCTCATAAGGACAGAACTGCTAGCATCTTGTGCGACCAACAAGAGAGCATTTAAAAAGAAGCTGCACTTTCCCACCATCAGCATTCACTCTGACAAGCAGACTCTGTTATTTGAGTGAACGTTCAACTTCTGACCCCATGACCACAATAGAAATCGCTGTTGTGCTCTGCCACAGAGAATGGATAATGGCCGCTCCTTTTCCATACAGTATCAGGTCCTGTGAGTCTACCTAACAGCTCTACCTGCAGGACACTCGTCTGCTTGAGTTTCCTAGCCTCATCTCCATACTCACATAAAAACTTATGGCTTTATCCCTGGACACTGGAAAAAAAAATCATTCAGATTCAGCATTCCACAATTTACACAAAATCCATGGGATGTCTGATGTTTTTATCACCAACATTCACTGGTTTCAGCAGAAGGTTTACTTCACGATCTTTGAGGATACTAAAACCCACAGATGCTGGGTCTCTTGTATGGAAAGGTGGAGTATTTACACATCCCATGCATGCCATCTTGTGTACTTTAGATTGCCCAGAACTAACTCATAAAACATAACACAACAGGGACACGGTGAAAGCAGCTGTTTACTGTCTTACTGAGGGAGCATTGACAAAACGCCCATATTCGCTCAGTTCAGGAGCACTCTATTTTGCAAAATTGATTAGTTTCAAGTTCAGTTAAATCCATGGATAAGGAACCCACAGATACAAAGGGAGGGGGCTGAATACACTTTCATATATTTCATATGAGAAAATAAAGTAATGTTTGATAAACTGAGAAACCCTGTAAACTGTGCTTCAATATATTCAGATTGATCTCCCTCCAGAGCTTTTGCTTTTTCTGTTTGTGTTTGTGAGCATATGAAAGAAAGGAAGAGAGAGAGAGAGAGAGAGACAGACAGACAGACAGACAGACAGAGAGGGGGAATTAGGATAATAACATAGAGACAAAGAAATATATCAGTACCTATTTTTAAAAGCACGGCTCTGAATACGTTACTTTCACAATCTTACAAATGTAAACTATCTCCATGTGCCTCGGAAGCCACTGCTACATTTGACCAGGTTGTTGACTACATTCATACGTCAAACTATTCTCTTCATTAAAAAGTTGTGTCCCTTTTCCAATCACTATTGTCATTTCCTTTGTATTCATCTCCTAAGTGCAGGCTGACTTGGAGCCATGTTTCACGCAGGTGATAATTCACTGTCCCATCCTCATTTGAAACTATCTACTTGCCCCCCACCATGGGATGACACATGCAGTTCACAGAGAATCCCCTCTCTGGTGGCTGCTGACTACCTGGTACCCAGCGTGTGTTGTTAAAATTCTCCAGAGCCCCAGGGATTTAGCTCAGTGTTTCCACCGCCTGCTTCCCAAGCACAAGGTCCCAAGTTCGATCCCTGGTACCAAAAAAAAAAAAAAAAGCTCCAGAAA